TTTGGTTATGTATTCAGCGGTGGGTTTGCTGGATCATATGGTAGTTCTGTTTTTAGTTTTTTGAGGAAGGAGCCGCCATCGTCTGCCTAGAGTTCCAGAATAACTAGGGAGAGTGGAAACGGTGCTGACTGGTTCCAGTTTCCTGGGGCTGGCCTAGTTTAGGGCTTCCATTCCTAGATCTCAGGAGAATTGTAAGAACCCATGAGAGAATTACCCCTGGACCCTATCTAACCCTTGTATAATGAGCTGAGTAATGGAATAATAGAAGAGAAGAGCCAGGCACAGTGGCTCATGCCTGTAATCCCAGCACTATAGGAGACGAGGTGGGTGGATCACCTGAGGTTGGGAGTTCGAGACCAGCCTGACCAACGTGGAGAAACCCTGTCTCTACTAAAAATACAAAATTAGCAGGCATGGTGGCACATCCCTGTAATCCCAGCTACTTGTGAGGCTGAGGCAGGAGAATCACTTGAACTCAGGAAGCGGAGGTTGTGGTGAGCCGAGATTGTACCATTGCACTTTAGCCTGGGCAGCAAGAGTGAAACTCTGTTTCAAAAAAAAAAAGAGAGAGAGAGAGATCTCTTGATCATGAATAAATGATAATTTTTATTTCTATTTTTGCATACATTTTATTTCTATTTTAAAATATTTCATATTTTATTAAAATATTATTTATTTTTATTATTGGGATTTTTGATACCTCCTGAAGTTTTGCACCCAGGACACATGCCTCACTCCTCTCACCCTACTCTGTCTATGGGCTGCTGGAGCCCTTGTGGTTTATAGGATGCAGAGAGTAGCCTAGGCCTGACTCTGTGAGACCCCCAGTGGGATGCAAGCATCTCAGCCTGGCCCTAGGCAAGGGTTGGTGGCCTAGTATCCTGGGCCAGCACTGCTCCCAGTCCCTCACCTAGAGTGTATTGAGGCTACACATGTGAGATACATTGACACCCCTGAGCATCAAACCAAGGGTCCTTCGATTTTCATCATAGATGGAGAGAATTTGCTCACATACTTCCATTCATTAGGGGTCACATAAGGATCCAAGAATTTCATGCCTGTAATCCCAAAACAGAACTGAGGTTGACATGATTTGACTAAATCCACATTCTTTACTTTGGCCCATATTTGTCAAACACCTGCTGTCTGCAGTCACTATTTTAGACATGTAGGATACAGTAGTGAACAAGACAGATGAGATACTTTCATGGTGTTTATATTGTGATTGGAGAACTAGACCAAAACAAGTAAACAAACAAGATACAGTTAACCCGTGAACAACACGGGGGTTAGGGGCACCACCTCCCATGCAGTTGAAAACTTGAGTGTAACTTTCATCTTCCCCCAAACTTAACTACTAATATAGCCTAATATTGTCCAGAAAGAAGCCTTTCAGATAACATAAATCATCAACACATAGTCTGTATACGTGTTATACACTGTATTCTTATAGTCAAGTAAGCTAGAGAAAAGAAATGTTACTAAGATGATCGTAAGGAAGAGAAAACACATTTACAGTACTGAACTATATTTATTGATATCATAAGTTTATGTCATCTGTTTACAAGATGAATCATCTGCCTGCAATGGTAGGCAGTCACAGCTCCAGACCTCAATCTGTGGTACATATCAAGCTATTCAGCTTTTTCTTGTAATGTTATGACTTTTCTCTGCTTCTTATGAGCACTTCTAGCATCACCAGTGGCACCTTGTATGGGTCCCATGGTGTCATTCAAAGTTTATGATATTGCATTAAACACTATAAAAAATACTTGAGAACCTTGAGAGAGCACTTTTTACTGCCCTATGCAATTTACTGAAGAAACTAACTGCTCATCTGGAGATGATCACTGTCACCTGGCATTTTAAGCAGATGCTTGCAACACTTGAGCTCACAGCAGTAGCAACAGGAGGTGGCTTTGAAATTATTACAGTTGTGTGTGTGTGTGTGTGTGTGTGTATGGTTAATTGTATGATTTTATGATTTAATACTGCATCTTTACATTTGTTTATGTTTCTCTCCACCACAAATGGTGCCATGTATAGTATGTGTACATAAGTGTTGTTAAATTTTAACTTTTTTTTTTTTTGAGACAGAGTCTTGCTCAGTTACCCAGGCTGGAATGCAGTGGGGCGATCTCAGCTCACTGCAACCTCTGCTGTCTGGGTTCAAGCAAGTCTCCTGCCCAAGCCTCCTGAGTAGCTGGGATTGCAGGTGTGCACTACCATGCCTAGCTAATTTTTGTATTTTTAGTAGAGATGGGGTTTCACCATTTTGGCCAGGTTGGTCTCGAACTCCTGACCTCATGATCTGACCACCTTGGCCTCCCAAAGTGTTGGGATGATAGGCATGAGCCACTGTGCCCAGACAATTTTAACTTTTTTAAAAATTATTTATTTATTTATTTTAAAGATGGGGTTTCACCATGTTGGTCAGGCTGGTCTTGAACTCCCGACCTCAGGTAATCTGCCCGCCTTGGCCTCCAAAGTGCTTGGATTACAGGCGTGAGCCACCACGCCCGGCCAATTTTAACTTTTTATAATAGACTTAGGTATATTTTATGGTAGTAAATGATAAAATAGACTGGTGTCTACATATATTTTATGCATTTTGACATGTCCAACTTTTTCTTAATTTTTTCAACATTTCTAGACTATCAGGTTCATCTGTGAGTTTTTTTTTAATTGTTGCAAATCTCCAAAAAATGTTCTAATACATTTATTTTTAAAATTCCATGTGTAAGTGGACATGTGCAATTCAAACCTTTGTTGTTAGCTGGGCACCTTGGCTCACGCCTGTAATCCTAGCACTTTGCAAAATGTGCATGTTGCTCAAGGCAGGAGGATCGCGTGAGCCCAGTAGTTCAAGACCAGCCTGGGCAACAAAGTGAGTCCTTACTCTACAAAAAATAAGAAAAATAACTAGGAATGATGGTGCCTGCCTGTACTCTCAGCTACTTGGGAGACTGAGGTGAGAGAATTGTTTGAGCTTAGTAGTTTTAGGCTGCAGTGATCGCAGCATTGCACTCCAGCCTGGGTGACAGAGTGAGACTCTGGCAAAAAAACAAGAACAAAAAAACTTATGTTGTTCATGTGATTTCAAATAGTGATGAGTTCTAGGAAGAAAATAAGGTTCTGTGGTTGTGGCCGAGCCCAGTGGCTCATGCCTGTAATCCCAGCACTTTGGAAGGCTGAGGCAGGCAGATCACCTGAAGTCAGGAGTTTGAGACCAGCCTGGTCAATATTGTTAAACCCTGTCTCTACTAAAAATGCAAAAATTGGCCAGGCATGGTGGCGGGTGCTTATAATCCCAGCTACTCAGGAGGCTGAGGCAGAATCGCTTGAACCTGGGAGGCGGAGGTTGCAGTGAGCCAAAATCGTGCAATTGCACTTTAGCCTGGAATAGAGTGAGACTCTATCTTAAAAAAAAAAAAAAAAAAAAGGAAGTCATTTGGTAGGGAGTGAAGTGGGGTAACTTGAGAGAGGTTGGTCAGGTATAAACATGCATGAGGCAGATTCTAGGGCTAAGATACCATGTAGTATATTCAACAACTTCCAGCCTCTCCAGAAGTGGCAAATAACTTTTCCACTGGGTATCCACACAGAAACATGTGAGCATGCTTACATAGCTTGTGCTGCCCCGCCTCCCCCTGCCAGGAATTTTGTTACAGCTACGGCATTTCCCATTTCCACAACCTATTTAAACCAACTTTGTAGCATCCAGCAGCAAAGTATCATTCCCCGACAGGCTGAGTCTTTGAGTCTCTGAAGGCTTGGAAGAGGGATCATTAACCAAATCATTCAGGAACCAGGGAGTCCCAGAGAGGTATGTAATAAATTTTATCCAGATGTTGGAATTGACCGTTTTTTCCTCCTTTTTTTTCCCAGTTACATTCAAAAAGTGAACACATTGTTTTCATCTTATCAAGCAAGGTGGGAAGAACATTTTTTTCCTTTATTTCTAGGCAAGCCTGCATAAAGGATTGAGAGGGCTAATGCATCTGGGTAATACAGGATGGCATCTGAATTATTGGAGAGTACATTGTATATAACAGAATTATACAGATAGGTAAATGGTGTTGCAAACACTTCATCAAAATCCAATTAGACACCTCTAAGTTCATTTTAAGGTAGAGCTTCCAAACTGTTTACCTGCAGTGTAGGCAGCTCCATCTGTTTTAAAATCCTTCTAGGAAACTATGGCTGTGCAAATTGGTCCAACAAATAGCCAAATATGCATGTTACTCTGTTAGAAAGGGACAAGCAGACACAGGCATAAGTGCAAATTTTTATTTCATGGCATCTGAGCAACCTAAATGTCTGGACAGCTTTGTTGTGCTCTGTGGCTGACAACCAGGTTATTAAATAACTCACAAAAACTCTCCAGCCGCCCAGACTTTCCTGAGGTTAAAACTCTTGCCTTGGGGCTAGAATGAAGAAAAAAGAAAAACAGATTTCCCCAAGCTGCAGCCACATTTAATGTCCCCTTTACCCCGCACCTGAATGCCTGCTCCCTGGAAGAAAACACTAAATAAATACAGTGATGGCACAGAGAGGGATTATTTTTTATTGTGGTTGCTCCTGACTCCAAGCTATAGGCATTGTACTAGAAACCACTGCTGAGAGAGAGAACCAGGAATAAATGATACTGGGAAATGGAAAACCCAGAGAGAAAAAAGTTTACTTTCCTCCCCTGAAAAAGATTCCCTTTGCAAGGTTCATCTTTTAATCCGGTGAGTCTTGAAATTTTTAGTCTTTAGACTACTTAAGCAGAACAAGAGTCTCACGTATTTACTAGATTAAAGAAACAGCAAGCAAACGAAAAATGCCTTTGAGGTGTTTTTGCTGAATCCCTTGTGATTATTTTTAGCTCCCTTCAAAAATGTTTGCTTCGATGCTTTTAAATTTTGTTTAAAATCTGCAGTGGAAAATATGTTTCGAAGGGAAAAAAAGAAAAAAGAAAACAAAATCACCCAACACACTGTGTGCCTTGCATTTAGACTCAGCCCACTGAACAACTGGAAGAATCTTCGCAGACACATCAGAGATCCCCGGATTCAACTTGTAAAACCATTGATCTAAAAACTACATCTTGACTTCAGAACACTTCTTTTGATCTGGAATTATCTGTTATTGACCACAGAGAGCAGCTACTGACGATTTCCTGGAACAGGGCCCTGTAGAGAAAGGTGAGCTCCAGTGAGGGAAAAAGAAATTTCCTTCTCTTTCTGAGCGGGTGCTTTGGTACAGTACAATATCTATGCTATAGTAATATATATGGGCTCAACTTCTCTTTCTCCTCCTCTTTTTCCTCTTTCTTTGCCCCCCGCTTCCTCATGATGTTTTTATTTTTTTATTTATTTGCTGCTTCTGTAGTAAAACTTTTCGAAAGCCGATGTGCCTGCATGATTTTTGCCTGGCACATTCCGCTAATTGGAGTTTCAGAATCACAGTTTCTTGCTCGGTGCAGAATTTTCAAAAATGTTTAAGTGCCTAAATTATTGTAGTAGTGGCTGGCCACTGCCCATGCCTTGTAGACAGATAGCTGAGATGGTAGCAGAAAAAAAAAAAGGCTGCAGGTCTATACCCTTCACTGTACAAGAATGCAGAGTCCTACGGAACTGTAGAAAAGAAGGGGAGCCCTCATGGAAAGAGCAGCCATGTTGCACTGAGCTGACAATACAGGCAATCGAAAGAGCAAGCCCAGGGCATAAATGGAACCAGGCCCTGGAAGCATTCAATTAAGAATCTCTCAACAGAGCTGAGCCCTGAGAATAAGATGGTTCCTTTGGTCAAATGGCTCTGTGAAAATACAGAAGAATCTGATCCACAATGAGGGTAAGGAGTGCATCTGCCTCTCCTCTCCTCAAGCTACAGGGATTTCATTAAGGATCAGGGCATTTATACGATGCCTTCATTTTGGACACAACCCTCAGCAGGACAGCCCATGCAAAGATAATTACCAGGAATGGTGGGCCCATTACAGTACAGCCCTTTGATTTGGTCACTCCAGCATCCTGTCAGACAGATGTAAGAAAGCTGACCGACATTTACCTAAAAGGGACCACATTTCAAGTTGAAGGATTTGGTTTCAGTCTCTGTCAAGCTGAGGCTTTGAAAAAACAATGTTTCAGGAAACCAAATACCAGATTCTGTTGCTTTGGAGCTCTTGCAAATTCAAGTACATAAGGACATATATAGACAAAATTGAGATAATTACCTTTTTTTTTTTGCTTGACTAGCTCGAGTAAAGAACAATAATTTTAATAGTCTATTTCACTGTCCAATGCAGTAACCCCCATATTTTGTAACTGGCTCTGGGTGGGAAGGCAGTCTGGGAAAGGGCCTGTTTCTGCTTCTTTGAGATAGCCTGCAGGAATCTCCAAAGTTAAAATAACATAAAACTTAGCATATCTTGGTTCCACTATGAGTGTTTCTCTTCCATGCGCTTATGCATACGGGTAAGCATTCTAGCAAATGCCATTACAGTTCAGTACAGAGAAATAAAAGGAGCCAAGCATTGGGCAAAAGCGATAAAGAACCAGAACTAGAATTCACATTGAAAAGGGAGATTTCTGATAGAAAATGGGAACCAAAAAGGTCAGATGCCTGGGAGGAGGCTCGGGCATGACGTCATCTTTGAAATAAAAAAGTACAATTCGTAGGGGAAATGTACACAAAGGGATAGACTATGAATTGAGAGAAAAGTGACTTTAGTTGTGTTGGGGAGATTTATTCTAACTTTGGGAGGAAATTGGAAAGAACTATAAAGCTAGAGTCGGTAATTATCTCCAATACCTGTGTAGCCAGTGCTGAGGGGCGAATCAGTCCCTAGAGCCCTTCAAGGTCTGCATTTTGCTCAGAGGGCAGCTATCTTTAGGAAAAAGATGAAGAATGGGAGTTTTTGGAGGGAGGCATAAGCCACTCTGATCATCACCGCAAAGGTAGGATCCAGCAATAAATTGCCTGCTAGAGAGCCACCAGTTCAGTCTGCATCTGTTCGCCAAATTTGTGTTTATGGATTTGATATTCAGGTATTTTTTCAGAAGAATCATCTTGAAGCAAAAATATTGAACTCAAAACATTCTTTTTTAAAAAAAATTCAAAACATTCTAAACCACAATTTGAATCTTGTTTAAAAAATGGAAGGATCAGAAGTGTGATTCTCTTGGCTTGTATAGAAATAGCCATAGCAGTGGCTCACGCCTCTAATCCCAACACTGTGGGAGGCCGAGGCAGGTGGGTCATGCCTGGTCAACATGGTGAAAAATACAAAAATTAGCCAGGTGTGATGGTGGGTGCCTACTTTGGAGGCTGAAGCAGGAGAATTGCTTGAACCTGGGAGGCGGAAGTTGCAATGAGTGGAGATCGTGCCACTGCACTCTAGCCTTGGTGACAAGGGCAAGACTCCGTCTCAAAAGAAGAAAAAAAGAAATAGCCGTACTAGACGGGATCCCAGGTGTTATGCATTTTCACTCTTCCCTCGGGTTAGCCTCCTCTCAAGTGCCTTCAGAACTTGTTCAATACCATCAATAATTGGGCTTTTAGAAAGAGGAAAAGTATGTATGTAGAATTACCTCCTTATGTCCTGTAGCTGCACCCCGTGTACTTCCAGGGAAGTGTATGCAGTGACCGCTGACTGGGTATCTGCTTATTTCATAATTGAATTGACTTAAAGCAGATACCTAGTCCTTGGCATTACTATGAGTTAGGGACAAATTTCTCATCCTCAACATTGTTATAAATTAGAGACACAGAGAAAAACTTGCTGGCTCAGCTCCTAGTGAAGGCATTCACTGCTGAGAACCCAGATTCCGCAAGATCATATGTCCTGACAACTGGTTGTAGTGCACCAAGCTCAGGATCAGGAATTAAGAGACCAGATTCTGGTCTTGCATCTGCGTATAACTGCCTATGAGACTTTAATCTATGTATTGACCGCCTCAGGGGTTCCATCTTCCTATGCATCAAATGGGAGAACAAACACTTGCCTCCTCGCTAGCAGGAGTTCTTGTGGATACCATGACAGGTTAAAAGTATTTGCCATAGCTGAGGAAGAGAGAGAATGGAGTCAGACCCTTGATGCTAACTTTATTTTATTGCTTAATTTTTTTTTTTTTTTTTTGAGATGGAGTCTCATTCTGCCACCCAATCTGGAGTGCGGTGGCGCAATCTCAGCTCACTGCAACCTCTGCCTCCAGGGTCTGCTTTTGTATTTCCTTAATGGTAAACAAATTCAAGCAATTCTCATGCCTCAACTTCCTGAGTAGCTGGGACAACAGGCACATGCCACCATGCCTAGCTAATTTTTGTATAGTAGAGACAGGGTTTCACTATGTTGACTGGGCTGGTCTTGAACTGCTGACCTCAGGTGATCTGCCCATATTGGGCCCCCTTACTGCTAGGATTACAGGCATGAACCACTGAGCCCGGCCATTGCCTAATATTTTAAATCTTCATCTTCCTTTTTCCTGGATTCCTAAATGGCCTGGGTATACTTTTATTTTCTTTTTTTATGTATTTATTTATTTTCAGAGACAGGATCTCCGTCTGTCGCCCAGGCTGAAGTGCAGTGATGTGATCATCATTCACTGCAGACTTGAACTCCTGGCTCAAATGATCCTCCCCATCAGGTTCCTAAGTAGCTAGGACTACAGGCACATACCACCATACCTAGCTAATTTTTAAATTCTGTGTAGAGATAGGGTCTTGCTCTGTTGCCCAGGCTGGTCTTGAACTTCAAGTGAACCTCCCACCTCAACCTCCCAAAGTGCTGGGATTACAGGCCTGAGCCACCATGCCTAGCCCCTTATTTTCTTGGAAGTTTATATCGATATAAAATATACTAACAGAAAAGTGTTCATATCGATGAATTTTCCCTATGTGAACACACCCAGAAAACCAGAATCTAGATCTAGAAACAGAGCATTACCAACACCCGGAAGCCTCCTCATTCCCCCTTTAAGTCCCCTTTTCTTACCAAAGTTAGTCACTAACCTGTCTTCTAACACCATAAATTAAGTTTTGTTTGTTTGGGGGCTCTATGTGTGTGTGTGTAGGTGTTTTTATGCATGGCTTCTTTTGCTTAATATTAGGTTTGTAAGATTCATTTATGTTGTATATGGTAATATTTTGTTTATTCTCATTATTGTATAGCATTACATGAATTAACATACCACAATTTATTTATCCACTCTCTTATTGATGGGTACATGGAGTATTTGTAGTTGGGGGCTACTACTGAAATTCATGAACGTATAAGTGCATTTCTATCTAGAAGTAAAATTGCTGAATCATAGGACATGTGTGTTCTGCTTTACAGATATTGTCAGTTTTCCAAAATGATCATATCATTTTATACTCTACCAGCAATGTCTGAGATTTGTTTTTTTCTCACATCCTCATCAATAGTTGTATTGTCTGTCTTTTACATTTAGCCATTTTGATGGGTGTATAGTAGAATGCTGCTTTATTTTAATTTTTTTTTTCTTGAAGACTAAAGTTTAGCACCTTTTTACATATTTATTGACCTTTTGACTGTCCTGTTTTGAGAAATATCTGTTCAGGTTTTGAACCTTTTTTTCTTTTTCTTTTTTTTAAATTTTTTATTGGATTATAGGTTTTGGGGTACATGTGCAGAACATGCAAGACAGTTGCATAGGTACACACATGGCAGTGTGTTTTGCTTCCTTTCTCCCCTTCACCCACATTTGGCATTTCTCCCCAGGCTATCCCTCTCCACCTCCCCCTCCCACTGGCCCTCCCCTTTTCCCCCCAATAGACCCCAGTGTTTAGTACTCCCCTCCCTGTGTCCGTGTGTTCTCATTTTTCATCACCCGCCTATGAGTGAGAATATGCGGTGTTTCATTTTCTGTTCTTGTGTCAGTTTGCTGAGAATGATGTTCTCCAGATTCATCCATGTCCCTACAAACGACACAAACTCATCATTTCTGATTGCTGCATAATATTTCATGGTGTATATGTGCCACATTTTCCCAATCCAGTCTATCATCGATGGGCATTTGGGTTGATTCCAGGTCTTTGCTATTGTAAACAGTGCTGCAATGAACATTCGTGTGCATGTGTCCTTATAGTAGAAAGATTTATAGTCCTTTGGCTATATACCCAGTAATGGGATTGCTGGGTCAAATGGAATTTCTATTTCTAAGGCCTTGAGGAATCGCCACAC